AATAAGTTTTCGAATAGCTTATATTAGTTTTATTATAATACCTTTAAGTAACATTCATTCATTCATTTTCTTGTCGGCTTAGTCCCTTAATTAATCCGGGGTCACCACAGTGGAATGAACCGGCAACTTATCCAGCAAGTTTTTACGCAGCGGATGCCATTCCAGCCGCAACCCATCTCTGGGAAACATCCACACACACATTCACACACAAACACACTACAGACAATTTAGCCTACCCAATTCACCTGTACCACATGTCTTTGTACTGTGGGGTAAACCAGAGCACCCGGAGGAAACCCACGCGAAGGCTGGGAGAACATGCAAACTCCACACAGAAACGCAAACTGAGCCGAGATTCGAACCAGCGACCCAGCGACCTTCTTGCTGTGAGGCGACAGCACTACCTACTGCGCCACTGCCTCGCCACCTTTAAGTAACAAACAAAGAAAAACACAGGAAAAATATAATAATAGTAACAAAATATGATAGAAATAGCGCAAATGAAATATTAATATAAACACATATAAAATAATTTAACAAGGAACTTATTATTTACCAAAATAATTATCATATTATCCCATTAATCTGTCACCTTTTCATGTTTCTCAAACAAAGCTAAGATAATTGACAAATATACATTTCATTTTGAAAAGATGGCTGTGTATTTTGGACATTTTTGTTTGTGAATAAAACGTTTCCTAAACAAAATGTTATTAATAAAATACGTTAATAACGTAATTTTAATAATAAATAAATATTAAATTTAATTTTATAGTATAGAATTACATCTCATACTCGAAACTGGAAGAAACAACGTGATTGCCTCTATGAAAATAAAAAAGTTTATCGTTTCTTCCACACGTGGGGGATGGTGATGGACAGGTGAGGTCACAGTGACACAGCTACTCTGATTGGCCGACAGGCGCTAGTGGGCGGAGCTTAATCACGGTTCAGCATTAATGCAGACTTTGATCAGTCCAGAAAACACCGGCAGAGAAGAGGACATTCCTCACCTGAGCAGAACATGGACGCTTTATTTCACAGGTGTGTGTTTTATTCAGCTGTCTCACACCACATGCTTCTGAGTTTTTCTGTTTATTACTGGAATTAAAAGTTCAACTGGAAAAAATAAGTAGATTTTTGAGAACATTAATAATTGCTTTAATGATTTTCTGCCCTGTGCTAAAGTGCTGTTAGTTAACGTGTTTAGTAAAAATGTGCATTTATTACAGTATTTATTTATCTTTGTTAAATATTAAATAATATAAAATAATATATTTTTTATATTTAAAAAAAAATATTTATTTATTGTTGTTAAATAATAAAGTATATTAATTGTGAGTTCTTGATAACTCACAGTGCATTAATAAACAACTTTATATTTGAATAATACTGCATTAGTGAATGTTGAACCATGATTATTAATAAATGTAAATAGTGTTGATTTTTGATTCAAGTTGGTAAATACATACACAATGTACAAAAATATGACAAACTACAAAAAAACCCGAATGAAACCTTATTAATCTCACAATGAAGACCGTATAGCCATTAAACAATCTAAGTTAATGTTATCAGCTAATTTATTACTAATCAAACGTTTGCATTTGTTATTTAATTAACCTCATTATACATGAGCTAACAGCAGCAGGTGAGTTCTGAACACGTGCATGTTCATTTGATCTTCAGTCTGACGGATGTCTTGTGGTGTGTGTGTGTGTGTGTGTGTGTGTGTGTGTGTGTGTATGTGTGTTATTGCTGAGCGTGAGAACTTAAGATCTGCTGTTTCACCTTGAAGTAATCTTGTGTGATGTGTCTGTGTTGTGCAGACGTCTGCTGCTGCTGCTGATTGTACTGCCGGCCTGCAGCGCCGCTGTAGACAAGCTCAACATGTGCATGGATGGAAAACACCACATCACTGAGCCCAAACCTGAGGGACAGTTATATCAGCAGGCAAGAGCACACACACACTCCCACACAGCACTGTAACACACTTCACTGCAACACACACACACACAGACAGACACATACACACTTCATTTTAATACACTTTATTTCAACACAGTGCACTGTAACACACACTTTACTGTTACACTCTATTGTAACACTTCACTGTAACACAAACTTTACTGTAACACACACTTCACTGCAAAACACACCAGTGCAACATGCATTTTACTGTAATACACTTCAGTGTAACACACTTTAGTGTAACACACACTTTACTGTAACATGTACTTAACCGTAACACTTCAACTCTCTTTATAGACGTCACTGCAAAAATACACTTCACTGCAACACATTTCACTGATGTTTTACTGTTTAAATTTAACAGTTCAATTCTCTTTAACAGACTTCACTGTAACACACTTCACTGTCACACACACACACTTCACTGTAACACACTTTTCTCTTTCACACTCTTCACTGTAACACACTTTTCTCTTTCACACTCTTCACTGTAACACACTTCACTGTCACACACACACACTTCACTGTAACACACTTTTCTCTTTCACACTCTTCACTGTAACACACTTTACTTTAACACACACTTCACTGTAAAACTCTTTAACTGTAACACACTTCACTGTAACACTCTTCACCGTAACACTCTTCACCGTAACACACTTCACCGTAACACTCTTCACTGTAACACTCTTCACTGTTACACACTTCACCTGTTACACACTTCACTTTAACACACACTTCACTGTAAAACTCTTTAACTGTAACACACTCTTCACCGTAACACTCTTCCCTTTCAAACTCTTCACTGTTACACACTTCAACTTTAACACACACTTCACTGTAAAACTTTTAACTTTAACACAACTCACCGTAACACTCTTCACTCTCACACTCTTCACTGTAAACACACTTCACTTTAACACACACGTCACTGTAAAACTCTTAACTGTAACACACTTCACTGTAACACTCTTTACTGTAACACTCTTCACTGTAACACTCTTCACTGTAACACACTTCACTTTAACATACACTTCACCGTAACACTCTTCACCGTAACACTCTTCACTCTCACACTC